CAACGTTTTGTAATACCGAACAGCTGATTGGTATGTATAGAGAGAGTGTAGGACTTTCGGCCTGGGGTGATTATGAGAAACTTACCCTCCGCAACAAACAATAGGGAACGTGGGTAGCTCTGAGTCTGCTGTCCCCAAAAGATTCCCTATAGGTAAATTGAAAAGAATTTGTGGGTAAGAGGGAAGTAGGGAAGGGGTGATATGGGGTGTTTGACACAGCAAGCTGGCCAAAAACTATGAATAGGATTAGGTACGGTACTTCCAAGAAGGACCTGAGCCCCAGAGCACTCCAGAGCAAGAGCAGGTATTAGATGGATTTAAATCTAAGTTTGGGCTAGTTTAGTTACAAACACCGTGCTTAAAGTTGTATATTTAAACAGTTTTTAACAAATTTTAACGACGATTTGACGACATATGTGTCACCTCAGTTCAAGATACAAAAACAGTGGATATGTATAAATTGACCATCATAATATTAGTTATAGATATTATAGTTTTGTATATACATTATAGCTTTTATAGATAGGCTACTGCAGAAGGTGGGGCCACCATCCTCCTATTGTCACTATAGCTTTCATAAATCACAAACGTTGACGAATTAGTCTCACTTAATATGATTTCAAGGCTTGTTTACATAAGAATCCATCCACTCAATAGTACAAAAATATTATCCATACAACAGTATATTATATTATTACAGTGATACAATCAAATTTTATGTAAACGGTTAAGGCCATTTACCAAATAAAAATATAGGCATATGGCATATCAAAATGAAGCTTAGAGTGTGTAGATTTTGCCGAAAAGTATTGATATGGACGAACTCCCTAAGGGCTCTGCCCCACAGGCTGATTTTCAAAAGGCTACGCCTTGCATGTTTTGGAAGTTATTATTTGAAATTTAGTGAACAACAGCTGGCCAATGCAATCGACAATATAGTTTGTTTGTTTACATTTTTGTTTACTTATTTTATTATTTACTTTTACGTTCTTAAAAGAGTCGCGGTGAATGGACAGTGAAGCTATTTATAGCTGTTTGTTACAAGTGAGTAACTAAAGGTGTTCGAACCATGATGACTATGAGATTAACAAACCATGTATGTTGTTCGTTCCAAGAGGTTGTCACCGATCTTTAACAGATCGCAATTTCATTGAAAAGTATTAAAGATGTCGTGAAAGCGAGCTGCGTGTTCAGGTACAACCTCGGCCAACCTCAGGACGTAAGGTATGAAGGTTCCACTGCTTTTAACATCCTTTCACATGAAAATTTCTCGAACTTGGGCCCTTTAAATGAAATATAAAGTCAAAGTTGATTAAATTAATTTAATGGTGGTTTCTGTTCACCCGTGAATTCACGGGTAGAACCTCTTGTTTCAGTTTAAAGTGTGAATTGTAGTTTAACAGCTGAATGTACATTCGTAGTACATTCATTCAGACAATTTAAACAAGATACGTAGTATAAAAATAATGATAGGCCTACTTTAATTAAATTACAGTCTGGTGTAATGTAAACAAAAAACTGCAGTGTTTAAAATAATGTTTACCTAAAAAAAACTTCTGTTAGTGTCCTATTTACAAGTAAATACAAAGTGAAAGTAAATAACAATTTGTTATGTAAAAACCAGATAAACACTAAGTATAAAATACGAAATTAAAAACTAAACCAATGTAACAAGAGACAAGTATGTTATAAAAATGCGTTTAAAATATAATCCTATATATTAATTAACAGTCTGGTGTATTGGTACAACAAAATATTAAAATTAAACTTGTAACTGCAGTGTTTAAATGATCAATTACTACAAAAAGGCTTCTAGTGATGTAGATATTTACAATCAATAAAAGAAATTTACAGCTTGTTATATACAAAATCAGAAAATTCAGTTGGATGGAATTAAATGCCTCTATGCATTTCATTCAACAATTAATTAATGTAATTTGCAATTTAATAATTGGAACACACAATTCAACATTGTGCATTTCCAACAAAAATTATGTTGGATGGAATTAAATGTACTGTTGTTATTAGGTGAAATAACACAGAACAAGTAAGTATCAAAATTAAACTTTTACGGCCAAAATTTAGCGTACGCAGCCAACGAAATAAAGAATTCAAGTTAAAATTACTACAAGTATTTTGCATTTAAAGGTTTCGTAATACAGTAAAGTTAAATAGACACCTTCTAGTGATGAAATGCACTATTTTGTATTGTTTTACTACCTTACACAAACATCTGTTACTTTTATATTTAGTGTTCGCGGCCAACGAAATAAAGAATTCAAGTTAAAATTACTACAAGTATTTTGCATTTAAAGGTTTCGTAATACAGTCAAGTTAAATAGACACCTTCTAGTGATGAAATGCACTATTTTGTATTGTTTTACTACCTTACACAAACATCTGTTACTTTTATATTTAGTGTTCGCGGCCAACGAAATAAAGAATTCAAGTTCAAATTACTACAAGTATTTTACATATAAATGTTTCGTAATACAGTACTGTTAAATAGGTACCCTCTAGTGATGAAATGCACTATTTTTTATTGTTTAACTACTGTACACGAACATCTGTTACATATTTAGCGTTCGCGGCCTAAGAAATAATGAATTCAAGTTCAAATAACTGCTAGTATTTTACATTTAAATTTGTCATAATACAGTACTAAAAACCACTATCATATACAGTATTAAAAGAAGCATAAAAGATTTATTATATGTAGTAAGAATTTGCGTATTTTTAAATCTAAAATTTTGAAACAAAAATAGGTTTATTTGGGGCGGATATCCACCACCCGTAGACACCATCACTTCCTGAGTCGTTAATGCCAAAGATTACAGCAGTATTCTAATACAATAGTAATGTATTTCCTAGAAGGTTGGCTCCAATGCTATTTGCCCTGTTTCCTGTGTCGACGACCCTGTCCACCACCCCACAGGTATTTCCGGGAGATTCCTGGGATTTAGTGGGTAAAGCGCAAGCTCAGGTCAGGTACCTACTCCCGAGAAACCTACCCTTTACACCACATAATAGGGGCAGCCCAGGCCGAGTCAGGGGCAGCGCAGGCCGAAAGTCCGTTTCCCGTATAGAGAATACTTTAGTTAACGGAAAAGGTTTCCGATTTCTTTTGTAAAAAATGAAGCTCCTTTGCGCAGTACGAAGACACAATATTATACTTCATACTAATATTATAAATGTGAAAGTTTGTTTGTATGTTTGAAGTTCACTCACGCATTAACTACTGGTCGGATTAAGCTGAAATTCAGTATGATGATAGCTTACGTTCCCGATTAACATAGACATACACTTATCTCAAAGATCCTTTCGAGCTCCGCCCCAGTGGCTCTAGAGTTTCTTGCCAGTCATATTTAAAAGGAATTAAAAATTTTTGCCAGCAGTTTCAACTACACAGGTTTGGTTCTATGATGATAGCATTAAAAGGTTTTAGGGTTTACCAACAGGATGCAGCACTATTATTTTTGCATTTATAACAACATCTAAATTGAACCAAGCAGCAACAAAAAGCTGTGACACACAATGGGAACTGCCCAAGTACCTATGATTGTTTACAGTTATGTTTTTCATCTAAAAATAATTTGTGATATTGTGCGAATATTTGGTAATTTACTCTGTTCTATGTTGTTTAGTGGCAGACCAATATTATGGTTATGGTAGATGTGTTACTATGGTATACTATAAGCAATAACCGTACTGTAAGCATACCGTAAGTTAAAAGAACCAAATCTTCCCAAACCGTGTCCTCTTCCATTGCAAACGCAAAGCACGAGTATAACTGCAATAAGCGTGTTACACGCCAACCCCGTACGAAGGACGGGTACTCTGCTAGTGAGTGTAAGTGAAAAGTAAAGGTATCAAAACGCTTAAATAAATTCCTACCTATTTCATTGTTTAGTAGGCCTATGAAATGTAAATGGTCATGCCTCATCACGGAGGCTAAACACATGGGTTCGTGCTATCTTTTCATCGCTTATTGATAAGAGTAGGCTACAGATTGTATCTAAGAGACTGATTCATCACCAGCAATAACACAATAACATATTAGGACGAGATTTGTAGATCCAAACATAGGTTTAATAAGGCCACAATTTTAAACCCGTCTCTTTCATATAATATTTCATAGATGAAAAAACTATGAGTTAAGTTAAAAATATACGTGATTTGCCATATAAAAACCTTGAACATAGAGGCAACCATATTATCTTTAGTTTAATATGTTGATTTTTAGTTTAAGAAGGTTATTTACACACTATTTCATCATTCGTAAGAACACAATAAATATATTGACGAACTTTTCACGCCAATTCAAGTTTCACCATATGGAAATTTAAATAAAAAAAAATTCTAAATACTGGGGTTATTAAACACTAGCTAAACATAATTCAGGTGCCCAATACCTACCCATATAGATTTTCATAGCTAAATTCAGACTATTAAGGAATAGTATTTTATTAGACAAAATGATTAACACCTCGAGGCAAAACATTTCGTTCCAAACCAAAGTTTCAATAAGGTTTACAAAATCTCCTTCAAAAGGTAAACTGAACCCGATGAATAATAAGTCAGGGTGGAAGATATATATTTACAATCAACACAAACCTCTAGATAACACATTTTGATCAAACTGAAGTTTCAATAGGTTTTAAACGCCTCCTTTCATAATGTACCGAAAATGTGAATACAATAATGCCAAAAAAAACTTAATGTGCATTAACGTTACACATATAATATTTTCATAGGCAAATTATCAGAGTTCAACAGTTTCATTATCACCTCACTGTCAAAACCTCTTGATGACGCCCTTAAAAATGAAACTGAAGTTTCAATATGGTCTAAACGGTCTTCATCCAAATACCATTGTACAGGGTACGAACACAAAGTCAAAACTACTCAAACACTATAGGGCCTACATGAATATTTTACAGGCGAGTATTCATTTAAGTTTCAACAACCTGGATGTATTCCTTATCAAGATGTTAGCTTACCTTTCAAAAGTTATCCGAATGAGACTACATGTACACAGCACTACACAATGCGATGTAACACTCGAACCGCACAAACGTCAAGATGTCACGAAGCACAGTACAGTTAGAACCCACGTGTAGACAACAACAACAGGTAACAACAACAACGCCAACAACGGGTGAGTGGCCTCGCTGGAGAGGTATGCGACACTAGCGCCTACTGGAGAACGTCGCCCGAACTGGAGTCGCAACTGGAGGGAGAAGAGAAAGGAGCAGTGGTCAGTGACTGTTACTGTTGGGTTCAGGTTTGGTTGGCGTTGGAAATACCAAAGTCCAAAATGCAAAAGCCGGGAAGAGTAGCTAACAAACACAGTGGTTACGACCCGGAGGCCCCTTAGTGAACAAGTTTAGGGGCCCCATAATAAGTCATGAAACTAGATCATAGCATAGATTAAAGGAGCCCCTCAGCAAACAAGATCAGGGACCCCTATATAACTAATGATACTAGATCAAAGGCATTGTATAATGGGGGACTAACAACTATGGGGCTTCTAAGGACACCTTTGTTTGGGACACCATTATATGTGTAAAAGGAAAGTCATGTGTCTTTATGATCAATGCTAACGACTCGGGGGGCTCTGAGAACATCTTTTGAGACCAATATGTGAGGTATGTCTGTGTAAAAGGAATACTTGGTTGGTGTTTTTTTAGCCTATCAACTCGAGGGCCCCTTAAAGAATAACTCTTGGAGGTCCCTATACTACCTTCTACAATAAGACAACAGTTGACGTAAAATTGACGGTCTTTATAAAAGGAGATAGGTCTTGTGCCAGCGGACGGTTCTCTTAATATTATCTTTGTGTTGGATTTTCTTTTGTTGTTGCCTCTCATGATCAAGATGCAATTTTTTTAGTAAGATGTTTGTTTGTGTAGCACTATGCATTTCTCCATCTCGTGTGGCATGTTCAGGGGTCTTCTTAATTCATCTTCTTATATGCAACACTATAGTCCAAATGACTTTAAGCAATATCCAATATCTTTATATGTGGCTCCTGTATAAACTATGTATGTATGGATGGGAAACGGATTATAGGCATTTTATGTGCCTAGTACATTTAAATTAAAACTAAATATGATAGTGTAGCTTACGACACATAAATGTGTAACTAGAAGCTCTGCTTTTACACGTCTTTGGATCATGAAGATATATAAAACACATAATATGTTATGTGTTTAATATATCTTCTTAACCATAATGTTATAACATTGTGGTTAAGATTAATAGAATTAGCTATTATTACAATTACAGACCTAATATAATACACATTTGTTTAAAATGCAAACTGAAAATACAGTACTGTTAGATTCACTTACCATATTAAATAGTTTGTTGATAAAAATATTTGAAGAGTTCAATTGAATTACGTTATAACCAACCATTTAATTAATTTAACTGAAATTGTTCCAGACTAAATTAGTGATTTTAGAGACCAATTTATATTTAGATTTGATTTAGATTTTAGAGACCAACTGTGCAATTAATAAAATGTTTATTTTGGTTAAAATTTATTAAACTTGTAAATTAGGTTACCACGTGGATTTAATACTTTTATTTAAAACATCCAGTTAAGTTAAATACCTTCTATTTAGTTTTTCCACGTTCTTTCTCTTCTAACAGCACTTTTTCTCCATGTAGCCTAATTTTTAACAGTATTGTAAGAATGTTGTAAAACACGACCTCCAATCTAACACAACAACTACTCGATAAACTCGTATTACTGTAAAGATACTCAATAGGGTAAAAGTATGGAAATTATCTGTACACAGCTGTGGTAGCGAAACAGTGTTGGATTTTGCCTGGGAACTGGTAACACTGGTCAAAATCTCTGGTAGGCCTAATTGTAAAATATTTCTTATATATTTATCGTTTTGAAAATAATTGACGATAAAAGTTTAAGTACAAATGCAGGAAGGCGATGTTAATTATGTCCGAATTTAACAGTAACACGAATAAAGCTTAGCAAGAAGTTGGGAAGCTTAATGTAAATATTCATTATGTTCATGACTTGTGAATAGTCATATTTAAAAAGATTTTATGATTGTAAATTATGAATTCCCAACTAAACATATAAATAGTTAAATATATGATATAATAACTAATAATGCTTGAAATGGGACTAAGCTACTAGTGTAATATATGATGATATTAATCAAAACAATACAAAGTATAAAATTATAAATTTGAGTTGTAAAATAAAAGTTTTAAACATAGCTATTGTCTATTGTAAAATTAAACAATGTACAATAAGTGGTTATAGAATTATTTTTGTTCTGTTTTCATAGATGTACACATATCTTGGTAATTAAATCTATAAAAATGTTAAAATTTATTGTAGCATACGTTTTCTTAAATTGCAACTAAAGTATTAACGGCAATTAAATCATCCAGCGTTTTATAATGTAAACAAATATGTTCTTCATAAGGACTAGGTTCAGAGCCCAAGGGGCGTTTTCAAAAATGTAAGGCCAGTTTGCAAATCTACACACCTAGACGAACATTATGGTATATAATATGTGGGGTTAAATCTTAAAACAAAAAAAGCCTTATTGTTCACAAAGTTTCATCTAGCAGATAATTAATAGTAATTAATAAAATATCTTAATTGCGTAGATAAAGACCTCCAAAGACAGTTCGGTAATTGGTACTGCAGTTGACACAATTTTCTGCAGCGCCTTCAGTTCTGTAACTGCACATTCACAATTTGAGAGTTTAAATCGCCGCAAGAAGTTGAAGGCGCGGTCATAACTGAAAATCACCAATGTTCAATTGTTATTTCATTAATTTAGTTAAACAGAAGCCATAATTTTTACACTTCCACAAACTGCTAAAGTCAACATCTGATATTGCAAACGATTAAAAAACGAAACAACAAATACAAAACTATATTGACTCTGTTTGCATCCCATATTTACTACTAAATATGTAAATATTAATGTGACCTAAAATGGGTCTGACGTGTTATGAAATAAAAATAAAACGAAAGTGGGGTGAAATAGTGTTAAAGATGAAATCATAAAACTTACTGAGCTTGGAAGCACTTAAGTTAGGCAAGCGTGCTTCTGCATAAAGTCAACAAAAGTATGAACTTCTGGCTCATGCAACTATCCGTATGTGCGAAACTTGAAGTTGAACATTTTTTGCTTAAGAAGGTTCTAAGGTATACAAAAGTTTTACTCATACATTTTATCTTTAAGTAAAGTAAGAACCACTTTCCATCTTTTTTGTATATTTACCGTCTTGTGAGTAACAGTATAAGCGTAAATATATGTTTTAAGTGTTATAAGACGTTTCTTTTATTTACTTTCCATAAATTTAATAACACGTACAATGCTGATCAAGAAGTTATTTATTTTACCTTTTACATAGCTTTAAGCTTACTTAACAAAAATTAAAAACACATTCTTGGAACAGACTGATGGCTTTTGAACAAGTTTTTACTTGTTTCAATACAAATGTTATTAATTGTGTTTAGTTTCCTTTGTTTCTTTGTAACCAAGAGATATTCAAAGGTATAATTTTATTGCTTAAATACAAGGCAAATAGTAGAACTATGATCATATCCCAGCACCTCGTAAACGTATGTATTACGGAATAAGGCAAAGGTTTGTTTTCAACTCTTTGTAAATATTTTTGCAAATAGAAATTTCTAGAACTCTTCATTAAGTAGTATACTGGTTTTAGCCTATCATTGTAACCAAAAACACTGTTAATTTAGGCTAATTGTGTTTTGTTTAAGTTGAAATCCTTGCAAATTGAAAATGTGACATTCAAGCTCGCTTCACATTCGCCTTAATATTCTGATCCATTCCAAGCTTACATTCAGAGTGTATTGAGGTTAAACCTAGAGACAGTGACTAAGATGTTTAATGCTATTATTTCCACTTTATCCTGCACCATTTCCTTTCTAGTTTCTGTCATCTAAACCGCATAATTTCCTCTCTAGTTTCAGTTATTTCCTAGTAGTCCGCACTATTTACTCTCTAGTGTTCTTCATTTGATCTCTATAGTACTTTATTTGATCTCTAGTGAACACTATTTTCTCTCTTCTCTGTACTATTTTCTCTCTAGTAAGCTGCATTTTTTCTATTGTACACTATTTTTATCTTTTGTCTACTCTGTTTCATCTCTAGTGTACAATATTTTCTATCTTGTCTACACTATTTTACACAAGTAAGCTTAATTTTCTTAGTGTACACTATTTCCCTCTTTTGTCTACACTTTTTCCTCTCTAGTGTACTTCATTTTCTCTCTTGTCTGTACTATTTTCATTCTAGTAAGCTTAGTTTTCTTTCTAGTATACATTATTTTCCATACTACATTTTCTGTCTAGTGTGCTTCATTTTCGTTCTAGCATACATTATTTTTCCTCTTGTCCAAACTACATTTTTCTCTCTAGTGTTGTTCATTTTCTTTCTAGTATACATTATTTTTCCTCTCGTCCAAACTACATTTTTCTCTCTAGTGTTGTTCATTTTCTTTCTAGTATACATTATTTTTCCTCTTGTCCAAACTACTTTTTTCTCTCTAGTGTGCTTCATTTTCTCTCTTGTCTATACTACATTTTCTCTCAAGTATGCTTCATTTTATTTCTTGTCTACACTATTTCTCTCTTGTCCATTTCCTCACTGGTGTATCTTTCCCCTATAATCTACACGATTTCGTTCCTAATTTACTTAATTTCTTTACACTATAAAATTAATACCTGAAATGACTCAGTACTATATATTGACATGCCACAAGATCAATTTGCCGTACAATTACTTAATTAAAAGATGGACGATATTCCAAAATAACCCTTTACTTCACAAAAATGTTATATTTATTCTCAATATTTATGAAAGATTTTCAAATTCACTGGACAACATTTATCTCCACTAAAGTGTAACATAAATTATATCTGAGGGGCCAAGAGCGGTTATTCAAGCACCAACTACAACCACATTAAACACTAACCATGGCCAATGCCGGGCCAACTTCTGTCTCTATAAATAACGAGGAGTTTGTGTGAGACAGTCGTGATCTACTGTGTTGTTGATCTCGTCAAATTTTACTTCTTCCTCAATTTAATAGGGAGAAAAACCATTTA